TACTCTCTTGTATAGGAAAAACTAACGTATGATGAAGCTATAGAACTGCTTGCGTTACTTGCCGTTAACGATAATGATCAGACATTGCGTCAAAATCCAGTTGTCAAGAATGTTATCGACAGTTGTCAAGGTTTACCATTAGCTATCACTTTAATTGGTGGTCTTGATTTAAAAACTGATGAAGAGTGGAATAAAGCAAAGGATATCATTGCCAAAAAGTCTGCAGATATTGAATTAGCTCATTACGGTTTCAATCTATACGGGACTTTACAATTAAGTGTTGATACTTTAAATGATGAGATTAGACGATTATTTGAGCAACTAGCTGTATTTAAGCGAGTCGGTATTCCTATTCAATCTGTTGCATCGTTATGGAACTACGATGAAATCGAAGCTCGGAATCTCGTAAAGAAAATGCATAACAAATCATTACTTACATATGATAAAGAAAAGTAAGTTTAATCAGATTTCGGTTCGTAGAATGTATTGAAATAGACACAAAGTAAATTGCTATACATTTAGAGCATCAATCATGTTTGAACACCAATTATTTTTAATTTTGGGGTAGAGTAGAATAGTGCATATCCAAGTTAAGTTAATTGAGTGATGTCCAATTTTGCAATGCTTTATATTTTAATATTCAAAGCATGACCTAGTGTGTCCTTGTAGGCATATATAGTGATAGATATAGAATGAACAGATTGATAAGTATTTTAAATTGATTGTGACTGTACAGTACTTGCATGTCGAATAAGCTATCATATATCTGCTTTATGTTAATTTTGGTTAGAATACTGTATGCCCAAGTTAAGTTAATGGAGTAATTTTGCAATGCCTTATAGGTATGGAATGAACAGATTGAACTAGTGTAACTTGTAGATATATTTAGTTATTGGTATACAAGTGGAACAAGCTAGGATAAATGCAATCTGTAAAATACAGAACATAATACTTTTTATCTACTTGTTAATATATTTGGGTTCTATCACGATTTATAAAAAGGTCATACTAGTTACGATGATTGCCTATTCTATGTTTTGACGACTGTACATAGGCAGCTATATTAATTCTGCAAATACTGTACAGAATAAGAATATCTATCAATCGTTAGTTGTAGGTTGATAATATTGCGCTATTAGTTTTGTCTCCTTTTTTATCTACTAAATCAACATTATCACCATATTAAGGTTACTAGAAGTTGTGACGCTTTCACTCCCATCATTAATAATACAAATATTATATTGAGAAGTATAAATTGTCTTACCTAACGTAGTCAATCGGCATTTGCTATTTTCCTCTTCCATCTTCAAGCGATCTACGAATGTATGTCTACAAAGCAAGCCTTGTATACACACTGCACATTGCACACAATATTCTACACAGTAAATTGAATTCTAACCCTCTTCCATAAGGCTCTCTTTCTCTTTTAGTGATAACTAGCCAATAACTACTTTTATTTAATTAATCTTTTCTATTAGCTACTGTTTAGTTTGATAGTAAATTATGATTTGCTATCGTCTAAAGTAATTTGATTCTGTAATCCAATTCATCTGCAATGACTATTCAATATGTTCTTCTCAATAATCGAGCCAGTGCTATTCAATCCATAGTTTTACATACGCTATAATTGTATCGATTCTCAATGCAGTGCTACAATCGATAGCCTTGCATTGACTACTGTAAATAGTATTAATCCCATTGATTTCCCTTACTTTGTCAAGATCGCACTGTGTTCTACACGATTTGATGGTCGACTATCTACAGCAACGACTCTACTCGCACAATTCCAATCAAGATTATCGCAAGAGTTTAAACAAAACGTTGATCGATGGTTACCGTAATCAGTGCGATGGAAAGTGGAATACCTTCCCTGATGATGGCTATTTCTATCCTAATCTTATTTATCATGCTTTAATAGCTGAAAATGATCAACATCTTCAAAGTATTATGACCGATTTCGATTGGATGACACGTAAAATTGAAATAGACAGGACGATCTATTACCTAGAATGCGATTTAACAGACTACGTCGACTATCTAAAGAACAGAAAAGAAAGAAAGGAAAAAAGGAAAGGAAAGAAAAAGGAAAGAAATAAGGTTGGATACTGAATTGATGTAGTTAATTCAATAGAATGAAAAGATTGATTACTTTCATCTCTGTATACCATGGATCAATAACAACTGTACAAATGATTCCATCATCCATTTTTTGGTGTAGATTGTTCAAGGTAGTGATTAATGATATAACATGTAGAAATCCTAGTTACTTACGCCACCTGGTATTGGTATTTGCAGTTTTCAAACTGACGATCTACTTTGTACAAATCGGGCTGCGTCATTTTTATCACTATATAAGTATTTGCATGCTTAAAGTGTAGTTGGACAGTCGCTTTTACCAATGTCCATATTTTAGCATGTTTTGATTAACGTAATAAATGATCACGCCGTCGCTTAATGACTTAATATGCGGCAATACAATAATAGCAAGATGGAGAGTCCTATTGAGTTGGGTTTGGGATGCTATTTATGCTTCATAGACGAATTGATCACGTTACTCTTCACTTTTTCGGTTACTTGTACAGTAGAATATAAGGTAGCAATCCGTCATCATCATGTCGTTGAAGAGATTGAGGCAGAAAATAAACTTGTAATTGCTACTAAGGACTAAGACATGACTTTGGTAACTAGGCGAAGATTGTGAAGTAGTCTTGATAGCTGATTTACAATTGTCCATAATTACTCCTGCCACAAGTTACTTCTAGACATTGTAAAACCAACGCTGCCAATACTACTCATTTTATAATTATAATTATAAATCGACTGCTAGTCATTCCAGCGCTTTCTTTCAAAATACGACTAATATCGTTTAA